GTCCTACTTTTTCGACAGCGGTAAATCGTTTCAGCAGTAATTTGCATATTGCGCAATAATACTACGGGACTACAACGTTTTTATCAATAATATACGTTCATATTTTAACTTGGATAACTTAATTTGAAATTGAAAAGGCTAAATATGGAAGACATTAAGATATCCAGACAAAGTATGGGAGTTTTGAAGGATCAAATTCATGTACTATTTCTTGGGCTGTTAATTGGTTTAGGACACATTGCGCGAGTGTAGCCAACGAAATCCCATGTGTAGATGACTTAGCTCTGAACGCGCCTGAGGGCGCGTCCGTCGCAAAAATAGGTTTAAAATATATTTTGGTTACATACTCAATGTACATGTCTATATGGAAAACTTCTAGTGATGTGTTTGTGGAAGATTTCATTTATCCATGCCATAAAGTCTAAAAGTTGACTTCTTCATGTCTAATAATCAATAAAGAGTGAGAACAATGAAACATTCTATAATTAACAAAGCCCATTTTCATAACTACGACCTCAATAGGTATTGAGAAATTGCTACCCCGTTGCTACCCCGTTGTTTCCTTGAGTAAGAAATTTTCACGAATTGCTGCGTACTCACTTCAACAAAGACTTATATTAGGAAACTCTGTGGTTTCAGGGACTGTGTCTTTTTTTCTACGCAATCAAACTAAACTAAATTCTGTATAAAATGAATTAAAGTTTCCCCACAAAAATATATTTGAAAAGTGCTTATACTCGCCGATTAATGGCGTTAAACAAGTTTAATACCTTATGTTACTATATATAGTAACAAAATCTAGGGTATTCTCAAGGCCATTATGGCAAGATCTAGGTCATTATGCAATTTCGACCGCCTTGCTACTCGGCATTATTTTTCCATAATGGGCGAGTAAATGAGCGCACGTGCTAAATGACGTTATCAACTCAACTCAACTTTTAGATGACACAATCAATCGCAATCAACAAAGCTTACATTGAAAATTGATACACTCATTACAAAAATAAACAAACGCAAAACGCCTGAACGTCAGCATTAAAGGTTTCAGACGGGTTTTCCGGCATGGATAAAAACATCGAAATTCAAATATATTTCATAGTCGATAAGATGTTTACCACTAGAAATTGATAAGCAAATTTCAATGTCACTCTTTTATTGCTGATACCTACAATACTTTTTTTTAAAGAAATATATTTTTTTTGTTGGGGCTTTTGTCGAAAAAAAAACCCGCCAGAATATGATAGGCAAATTCATGATTTGCATGTAACTGTTTTGATCAAGTTATGACGTTCCAAACAAACCAAAACTGTACGGCTAGATCGTGCAAATAGCTGGCGTCAAAGTGGTTCAACGTCACGCCCCTCAAATGAATAGGAAATTTCTTATTTACTAATTTTTTTTAACTTTTTCGCATAACATTATTTTTAAGTCATTCAATCAATTCAATATAGAACTCATTCATTATTCTCCGTTATGTTTTTTTTTTCAATGAGCGACCAGATTGAATAAACACACTCATCTAGATGTAAGCTAGTCGCAATCATTTTTAATATAATGTGAAGACAGCAATACACAAATATTTCCTGAAAGTGGAGGCTTTTCTTTCCATTTTCTGCATTTTATACAAAAAAATATTCTCAAACTATACATATGTGTTTTAATTGGTGGATAAATGTTGGTATTTGTATATAAACAACGAATATATATTATGCCACCAACTAGAAAGATATTCATACCCGATGGGGAAGCATTGTTCAATTATTTATTTCTAACCTGACGAACATTTTTTTTCAGATATGAATCATTTCCTACATACAAATAATTCATTATCAGCTGACTCAACAAATGGAAATCCACCAAGCAGAAAAATGCACCGTACGTTATCATTGATATTTTGTGCGCCATACGTTATCATTTAAGGAAAATGCCCAGATATCAATATTTACAGCAGTAAATCTAGCCAGGATGGGCATGGGTGCTTAGATGACAACCTACTACAACTTTTTAAAGTCAGTGGTTTCAGTTAATATACATGTTTGTGAAACAAACAGTAAATTTGAGAGAAGAAGCCGAACGTTATCACGATCAAACCGGTGGAAAATTCTCTCGCTTCGATTCTGGTGACGCGCATTTCAAAAGAAGTACGGGAAAAAACATCAAGAAATAAAGTCCTGTGCGCCTGGAAAATTGTGCCTTTACACAAGAACAGAAGAAAGGGAAAAACTTACTTTTCGGCTGCATCCGCCATCTTGTTTGTTTGGGTAACGAACGATGTGATTCTCCCCCTTGACTCTATTATTGTTCATCCACATCTTCTTTTCTTTCTTATTTTTTTGTCAAAATTAGCTGGTAGTTTTTTTTTATTAAAAGCATAATTGTACTTTTTAACTATCAATTTAGATTTTTATTACAATCTTTTGTCTCCGTTTAAACACAGTTGTCTTTTCGATTTCACATTCCTATGTGAAAATTAAACGGCGACTTTTAAGAACAGAACAGAACAGAACAGAAATTTTATTTCGTAATGTATACAATACAGTATCTTGTTACATTACATATATCAAATATTATAAATAGATAAACACATGATATAATTCAAACATTTACAGTATATTGGAGAATGAACATATATTGCTGCGAAAAAAATTGATTTTGTATAAAATAAATGTATATCAGAATAATCTCATTTTTAATATCAGAATAATCTCATTTTAATATAAAAATTACTAGCGAAATCTAAACGTTTACAATATCTATGAAAATAATAACAACATTTTAACATTACATTTATGTATAACCAAAGCTTATCAACATATCTTTTCTTTTACTATTTGCAAAATAAATAAATTTACATAAATTTAATAATATAGACTTTTCACATGAATGAAGTAATTCTATGAATTTAAACATGCTAGGTTTTTTATAATAATATCTTTTAATGAATTTAGTGCGTATTTCCTGGTACAAATTACAAACAAGTATAAAATGAAATTCGTCTTCAATATCTTGTGTATTACAAAGTTGACATATGCGCTCATGTCTTTCAAGTCTGTTTCTACCATATCTACCAGATTCTATTCTTAAATTATGCGCAGATATTCTTTTAAGTAAATTAATCTCTGTCATATAATAATTGATTTTTTACCTCCATTTTGTTTCATTTTTCTTTTGCATTTTTTTCTCATGACCATTTGGTTTAGTATTTATTAAGTGCAAAATACCTCTTTTTTGAAAAATTCTTTGATATATTTTCAACTAAATGAATTATGTGCATGATAATGCCATGAACTGTATATATGTAAATTGTTTAAACTGGGACAGGACACTCATAAGCTTTCAAAGCTTTCTGCCCAATCTCAAATGCATTGTGTAAATATTGTTCATCATAATGTTAATATATCGAATAAAATATGTTTAAACCAAAAATACGATACTTCAACTGTACCCAAAAAAACATGACCCTATAAAAATTCCGAAAATGATTTCAGACTGACAGTTGAAAAAGATCAAGGGAGGGGGGGGGGGCATTTAGAGCTTGACATTAGAAATCGTTTTAGAAACGTTATTCTCACAAAAATATAAATGTAAAGAGTATCCATCGATACAAACAACATTTTCTCATATTTAATTTGTGTTAACATTTTTTCTTAGTAAATCGGAGAGTTAAACTAAATGACAGATATTTGTTTACATTGACATCTGTCCGTTTCTAAGAAAAGTCGACAACAAAGACTAGTGGCGATGTCTAAACGCCGTATTTCGGGCATAGGAATTAAAGACGTTAATACTTGGTTGCTGCCCGCCATTATGCGAATATTGCCCTCGAGTCCATAATGTCATTCGGACCTGCGGCCCTCAGGCCATTATGCACATCTTCTGACCATTATCGCATAATGGCGAGCAGCAACCAAGTATTAACCTCTAAGTGACAGTTTAGTACCATATATGAAAAAAATCACATTTTCCGGCGTTACCGCGAAACACATACACGTACATCGGCGTTACCTCATAAAAACGACTTTAATTAGAGGTTAATACTTGGTTGCTGCTCGCCATTATGCGATATGACATTCAACATAACGCTTTTTACAGTAGTCACTGAAACTACAAAATTTATCCGATAAAAATTGTCTTTTTCAAAAATTTCTGGAATGTCATACAAAAATATGTGAGGTAAGGCCGAGTAAGTTGAACATTCCGAGCTATCAATTCACTTATCTCCATTCATAGAATTACGCGAACTGTCAAATCATAATATATAATATCCGCTGCATTTCTAATACCGTAATTCAGGCAATATTACACATGATTTTCCCAAAATAAATTTCTTATCTCCTCTTCTATCCGCTATTATATAAGTTAAGCACTAGTTTTCACTCGCGTCGGTCATGGTCGGATGATCACTATGAGTTCAACATCCTTGACAAATGTAGTGATACAATATAGCATATATAGCGGTGATAAAACGTCACTGCAGTGGGCGTTACCCTGTATGATTGGAAATTTCGGGTTCGTAAGTACACTAGTTGGTTTGTCCCAACTAAATATTAGGCACTGGGATTAAATCAAATAAAGTATGTGCAAATTGTAAATGAAAATTGTCAAAATTAAACGTACTTTAATTTGTTTAACTTTATTACTTTCTGCAAAAGATACACATCATGATTGGGCATTTAAATTATGTTTCAGATGTTTTTATTCATAAATTATCAGAAATATCCTGCTTTACTTTGTAGTACTCACATGCTTTAAAGGTGGTTGTTTTATTCTACTTTTCATATACTACAAGAGTAACCTTTGCTAATCGTTTATTTATTCTATGCATTACAAATAAATAAAATAATAAGTTTTAGATAATATGAAATATATCTTTAAAAAATTCTCCGTAGAATTTGCATTGGTTATACACATGCTTAAACTAAGGGAACACTGTTTTAGTTTGAATTACCTCCCTTGCAAGTACGTTTGAAATTCTTTTATCTTGTTTATAAATAGTAACTTAGATAACATTTAACAAAGTAAACATTTCATTAAATCTCGTGTACATAAACCTCCGTATTGATATGGATTTATGTTTTAGATAGGTAAAGACGGTACACGGAATAAATTACTTAGTACCCTCGGAATATATTCGAAAATAACATCAGCCAGGACGTGATGTCAGACGACGATGGGACAAATATTTCGTCTGCAAACATACTGGAACAAAATTGTCGTGAAGACTGGCCAAAATGGTCATGCATATTTGCTAATGTTTGTGGGTTGTGTAGTACAGCTTTGTGGTTCATTGTGCTCCTCCCGCAAGTATGGAAGAACTTCCGGAGAAAGTCGGTGAAGGGACTGAGCGTTTTGTGGGCAACGGCTAATTTTACGGCGTCTTTGATAAATTTGTTTTTCGTATTTATTTACACTTCTATACCGATGTACGGACAAATAAGCTCTGTTTACTGTCCCGTTCTAGAATTTGCTTTGTTAGTTCAGTTTTGGATGTACGGACGCAACCGGAAACTGGAGAAAATTGTTTATGCAACGGCGTGCTTCATTCTGTGGGGAATCATAATCGGAGTCGAACTACTTTTTACATTAGAAAATTTTCTAGAATATGCTGCCATTTTTCTGTGGTGCATCGAAACATTTCCACAAGTATGTTAATTGTGTAATATTTTCTTTCTATATTAAACTGCAAATGAAAAAATCCAGTAAAATAAATAAAACGTTATCTGCAAATCATTTATAAAACTTCTGGTTTATTCAACTGTTGTCTTGTTTAAACTTGTTTTTTGAACCTGGGATGCCCCTCTACCGTATATTTTTTATATTTTCAAAATGCCGCTACCCATTATGTGCTCTTGTTAAAAATGCGAAAAGGGGCTTCCATATTTACGTAAATTCAATAGACGAAAACATTGTTTTACCGGGATCAAACCAGTTACGACGGCGGTTTATTGATAAGTTGACAGTATTCATTTATACCTATGTTTGCATTTTTAAAAATCATTTTCTGAAGCAAAAACAACAACAAGGAAAATAAGCGCGGTATTTCAAATTAGGAAAGTTATTTACTCACAAAGTTAATTGATTTTGATTTATTTTCTGTTGTTGTTGAGGCTTTTTAACCTATTTGGTGATACATTTGTATATATATCGCAAATAGTAAATAATCAGTGTGAAGCTTTAAAAAAGTTCATTTTCTAATTGGTAGAAAAAAAGAATTTTACAGAGTAGAGCCAAATACATTTCATTTATTTTAGAATTTACTCATGATAGTGTTTTTCTTTACAAAATGTCACTGAATTTCATTTCTCTAAGATACTACTTTTGATTTGTTATTAATTCTTGCTCCAGATAATGTTGAACATGCGCCTTCAGTCGACGAGTGGACAGTCAACAGGTTCCGTGCTTATTGCAATGATTGGTAAGACGACAGATTTTATATCAAACAACAGCCTTGTATTGCCTATCCAGTACGTCATTATGGTCTACTTCTCCAGCAGCGTGGCATACATTAACGGTCTGCAGGTCGCGTGGTACTATGGTAACGACGATGATTTCCGGCAAAATGAAGGTCAAGGACATTGCCAGCAAACGAATACCAGTACTTTCAGTCGCGGTAAACAATCAGTAGAAACAGTCGAAGGGGGATATAATTCTTGGAATAAAAGTTATGAATCTGTTGACACTGATGCAGACAATATTAATTCACGGTCAAAGCTTTCTTCTATAGAACCGTCGAAAAAACAACCAACTCTAGTGCTTGTTATCCGATCGATATGTTTGGTTACACTCAGTGTCCTCCTTATAGGGTGTGTCGCTGGCTTCGTGTGGAATGTCGCCTCCTATTACGGACTGTTTGCCCCAGTTGCTATTATCTTGATAATAGGAAGTGGGAAGATATATTTTATGTTCTGTACGACATCAACATACTCTCTCCATGTAATGTCATGACGCTAAACATTATACTTTAACATGCATTAATTAAACAATAATCAGTCCTTAAAGGGAAATACAGGCAAACATTTTATTTTATCTCTCTAAATTTAATCTGATATTCTATTAATATCTTCGATATGAATACACTAAGCAGTTCTAGATGCAAAAATTTTCTCCTTGAGATAAAACTGGATGTTTCCTACGTGGGCCGGATAAGAATACATTTGTATTTAGATTTATCGCTAAATATCGCAGTAAACGATGGTTTGATTTAACAAACTGACATTATATTACATTTCAAAATAGAATTATATATCTTTATACAGAGAAATATGCTGGAAATAATAAAACTCTCATTGTAAGCGCGATTTGAGTAAATAATATATGAATACCATGCCTTTTTTAACCTTTCTCCTCATATAGACGTGTTTTGACGGCTTTTTGACCCTCCTCCCACTTTTTTGAGGCCTCAACCATTGAAAAAAATGTCCTATTTAGGCCCAAAAAAATGTTTTTCGTTTGAGAAATGTTGTTAAAAAAGTGACCACTTTTTCGGCGACGTCCCCCATCCAGCTGTTACATGAGGGGGTTGCCAGAAGAGGGATGTGCCCCCTTTTGTTTGGGGGGGGTGGGTTGAAGGGGGCGGTAGTCCCCCTGATCGCCAAGAAAATTTTGGACATGTGACAGGCTAAAAATGGCCTCAGGTCGATCTTATGGTAACTAGTAGCCGACGCTGAAAAGCCTTTTACTCTATCTCAATTCATTAAGAAGTTGCAGCACTTTGAAATCAGTTTTGATGGAATAAAAACAATGCAAAATAGTGATTTTTGGCAATTTTGAGACGTCCCCCGCTGCCATGTTAACAGTTAATTTACGATTGAGCATGCTATTTCGGAGGCTATGGTCTAGTCAACATTTGTGCCAAGTTTCATCAGTATGGATGCATTTTTCATAGTTTCATAGTAGTTTGAACTTGTTACAGGAGGCTTTTCAATTACCGGTAAGACGGCCATTTTTTGCAATATGCTCATGGGGTAAAAGGTTAATAAAAAAATTAAAAATGTCAAAAAACAACAACAATTTTTCACCAAAATTAGGTGTAAGGGCACGTGTTAACATAAAAAACTAGTTTTTGGGTAATTCCAAGGTTTTTCATCATTTTTTGTTAACCTTTTCCCTCATATAGACGGGTTTTGACGGCTTTTCGTCCCCCCTTTTTTGAGGCCTCAAACAGTGAAAAAAATGCCCTATTTAGGCCCCAAACACTGTTTTTCGTTTGAGAAATGTTGTTAAAAAAGTGAGCACTTTTCGGCGCCGTCCCCCATCCAAATAATACATGAGGGGGTTGACAGAAGGGAGATGTGCCCCCTTCTGTTTGGGGGTTTGAAGGGGGGCGGTAGGCCCCCTGATAGCAAAGAAGAAAATTTTGGACATGTGACAGGCTAGAAATGGCCTCAGGTCGATCTTAGGGTAACTAGTAACCGACGCTGAAAAGCCTTTTACTCTATCTCAATTAATTGAGAAGTTGCAGTACTTTGAAATCAGTTTTGATGGAAAAAACATTGCAAAAATAGTGATTTTTGGCAATTTTGAGACGTCCCCCGCTGCCATGGTAACAGGAAATTTACGATTGAGCATGCTGTTTCAGAGGCTATGGTCTAGTCAACATTTGTGCCAAGATTCATTAGTATTGAAGCATTTTTCATAGTTTCATGGCAGTTTGAACTTGTTACAGGAGGCTTTTCAATGAAAACGGCCATTTTTCGCAATAAAGTGAGCACTTTTCGGGGCGCCGTCCCCCATCCAAATAATACATGAGGGGTTGACAGAAGGGAGATGTGCCCCCTTCTGTTTGGGGGTTTGAAGGGGTTAAATGTGTTAAATACGATACCGTTAGACAAGTGTATTTATTTAGTTGGTATAAACATGGAACAGAACTTCAAGATTTCTATGCTCTTTTGTCTTCTCAAAACCCTGACATTGTTAAAAATATATTTATTTACATCAATCAACTTATGAATATAATTAATGATCTTTAAAGTTTCACAATATACAACTACTTGACATTTTATTATATGTTATACCTTATGATGTATTTTTGGCCGGAGGCCTTTATGTTTGAGTTGAGTTGTCGTAATATGACTGTATCTTCGTGATAAAACTAAAAATATGTGTCTGACTGGTGATAAGCATTGGCCATTATTAAAGCATAATTATAAACATATTTGCCCTTCCTACAGAAGAGAATCAAAGGCCTGCAAAGTAAACTGTTCTGTGGTATTTTCTGATCTTTGCAATCTAAATCGTATTGTATGTCCTGTATAAAATAGATAAATACAGAATCCCTAAAGAAAGCCCAACACGGCAAAATTGAAAATGTTGCAGGCTCGGTTTGATTGAGCCTGTTCATGGACGGTACTGGAAAGTTTATTTTATGTACTATAATTCATCTTGCAGGACACCAGAGTTTGATACATACGGAATTTTGCATAATTAGAGTTGCAACAAAAAATCATTTATATTCATTTTTTTATGACAGCCACACTTTATCCGTGCATATACTGGCTACTTCCTTAACAAAGACACTTGATTTTTTTTTTTAAAAAAAATAGTTGGCTCGACTGGGACTCTCACACACTAAAACGAGCGCGTTACCCCCTGCACCACTTAAATGTTTTACAATCAAAGCCTGAATAAAATTCTAAAGTTAGATTTTCCATTGCATTTCGGGTTTGTAATCCTTAATTAATTTCGAGGTATTTTGTTCACGATAAACCTGTTGTTTAAAATTAATGTAAATAATTTTGCGAAAATCTTCTCGCCAAAACAGTCCGACATGTACAATCTATATATTCTACTACTCGACAGTCAGATTTATTTGTGTAGTATTCGGTAATCGACATCGCTAAAAATAGCATTTTCATTGATTAAAATCATATTCATCCGCGTAATTTGTGATTGTGCATTTATTGACAATTCTGTAAGCCAACGCTACTTTTAAACTTTGAATGCTTTGTAATTTGTTGGATACTTGTAACAAAATAAAAATATTTCTTTCTTTTAAATCGCTAGTTTTAAGCTGTTTTGAGACCTACTTGTTGTAAGGTTTGTCGTTAACCACTGTGTCAGAGATTGAACGACAAGTTTGTATTTCCTGATCTTCGATCAGAAAATACAAAAATCATTACATTAATTTGAGACGTAATGCGCCCTTAAAATATCTCACAGAAATATCCTGCAAGAATTTATAAGTTGGATTTTAACCTAAATTTAAGATATGTCTTTACTGTAGATTGCAATCAAATCATTGATGGAAACCAATGTCATTAGAGCTGCAATTGATATTATCTAAAAGCTAATTATGAATTTTTATTATTCCAACAGAGCTCAACAGGACATCATAGGTGGTGTTGCTTGCTTATTTTTGCATAATAGAATTTCCACACATACAGTAGCAAGAATCAAACTATGCATGTAATTTCATATGATTTAAATAGATAAATGTTGATCATTTTAATGGTAATGAATAATTTTAGAAATCCCGATTGCAAAATGTATTTCAATTTCCTTTATATCTAAGTTATTTGCATTTTTTAAGGGACTCCACTGATGTTATTTGATGTGTCGGGACTGGATATATTTTCCCGAGATTTATGTACAGATTAAACCAGGTCTGGACCAATAAGTTGTGTGCAAACTTACATGTCATTTTATCACCTCGTTTTTCCATAATTATCATTTTTATTGCAAATGACCAAAAAAATGAAAGCTTTTCAACCCAAATTGGCGAAAAAAATCGACTTTCAATTTGATTTTGAGTCTATTTCTTTTCCAGTTTTCCATTTTAAGTGCTTCACCTGATGTGTTTCATATTTTCATATTTTATGTTTTTAGTCCATTGTTCCTCGGTGGAGTTTATATATGACTCTTCAGTGATGTATTTAAGCCTCGGTCTCACTTACTCCCGGCAGAGCCCAGGACCATCCCGGTAAGTTACCGGGATGATCCGGGACGATCCGGGATGAAATTATTGTTGCGGTCACACTTACCCCGGCATCACTACGGTAGTTCCCTACTAACAACCCAGGATGAGCTCCGGATCATCCAGGCAGAGCCCAGGTGAAGCTACGGTTCATGCCGGTGCTTCCCCGGTCGTTCCCGGATGATGCCGGAAGAGCCCCGGTTGACCCAGGCAGAGCCCAGGTCGACCCAGGCAGAGCCCCGGCAGAGCCCAGGACGATCCAGGCAGAGCCCCGGTAGAACCCCGGTGGATTGAAAACGCCCGAAAATGATAACTTTGATACATAATTTTTATTGTTCCAGAATAGTAATTCATGATGATTTTCTGAAAAATCCTTATGCCATACTGGATAGAAGGGAAATGGGAAGGCTTTTAATACAACAAGTTCAATCATCACAAATTGTCCTTATTTTTTTTGAAATGATCGGGCTTTGCCGGGGCTCTACCGGGGTTCTACCGGGATCAACCGTTGCTCTACCTTTATCCTCCGGGGCTCTGCCTGTAGTTACCGGGGCTCTGCCGGCATATACCGGGGCTCTACCGTAGCTCTACCGTAGCTCTACCGGCTATATCATACCCCGGATCATCCCGGTTTGTGCCGGCAGAGCTACGGTGCTTTCCCGGTATCACCCCGGTCGTTCCCGGCAGAGCTAAGGATGATGCCGGCAAAGCTATACCTTCCCGGATCATCCCGGACCACCCCGGTGATATTAAATATTTTATTCCATCCGGGATCGAATGCCGGATGTTCCCGGATCATCCCGGATCATCCAGGACGTTGCCGGCAGAGTTACGGATGTACCCGGTTGTTCCCGGTCGTACCCCGGTCGTTCCCGGATCACCCCGGACGTCGACCGGGGCTCTGCCGGGGCTCTGCCGGGATGTAAGTGAGACTGTAGCTTTAGTTTCAATGAATATCCTGAAAACATTTTAAAACGACAAGTTCTGACCATTTTGTAATTGGATGCAGTGACAGGATTAAAGAATAAATAATTTTGTTGAAAAAACTTTTTGGGGACATTTTCCGTTTTCTCTTTCATAAGCTGTTTACGTTTTGAGTTGTAGAAGAAGAAAGACATATATGAAACAGCTTTTGCAAAACTTTTATTTAATGCGAGTAGTGGTCTAGTAGTGTCTGCCTCTGAAGCCAGACTGGGATAATGTTGAATAAAACTTTGAAAATATATGGTTTTAAACTTTAAACAGTGCTAAGCATTCAAAATTAGTTTAGAATCATCTATAATTTTAGATAGGGAAAAAATGTTTTTGAATATTTTTCATCTACCTATACCTACCCTACCCAAACTTGCATGGGTTTCGGGAGGGGAATCAAAAGTAATTTTAAGGCTGACCCAACCGCAGTATTTAATTTCCGCGAATTCAATGGTAGGATACTACGTCATCACACACCTGCTAAATGCTCCCACTCGGGCCATTTTTTGCAGAAAATCCGTCGACTCGAAGGTAAAATGCAATTTTATTATAAGAAATAGCAGGGTCTTTCAACTAGAATGGTCTGGAGACGGAACAATTTAACGAAAATAGCTGTCTCGGTTGAGTCACGTTATTGGGTTATATCTACCG